CAGCTATAATTCCAAAAAAAAATAGTTGGTTTTACTAAATATTAAGTAAACAGAGTAAAATTTCCAAACTTTACCATTTTTCACTATACAAACTGACTTTAACAAGCATGTTCTAATCGTTCCACTACTATTTTTCACCCAGCTTGGTGTTAATATATTATAGAACTGAAGTGAATTCATATTAAAGATATATTGACATATAGCAGTTTAATCTACTCTGATTATGAATGGAATTATCAGTCTTTACAGTGAATTTAAGCTATTTCAACAGTTCCTTCATTTTTGCCAAACACTCACTGAGGGCAATAATTTGTCCTCATTCTTGTCTTTAAAGACTTTCTAAATCCTGCATTTATCTGCCCCAGCTTGTCAAACATATTTCATGCAAACCGATAAGCATGGTTCCTCATGACGTATATCAAACCACCTCCTTCCTCATCCACAGAAGAATGTCATGACAAAAGTGCCTGCCATAATCCAATTTCAGGGACCCTTAAGGCATCACTCGAGCAAAGCATCATATTTATTGTGCATGCGATAGCCATGGTGGCTGTAAAACTGTCACTGAGGGTTAATAGCTCTACGCCATGTCTCATGATTAATTCATTTCTCTTCGTACATCTTTTTTGATGCTCAAATCCCCCATGAGTCACCAATAATATACATTCAGATAAAACTGCTCCCATTTAGAAATTGACAACTGAGAGATGAATGAGCTGTCATCAGAGTGAGATCTTCTCCAACGACTCCACGGCGCCAAAGGGAAACTTTTGAGAAGGAAATGTTAAAAGTGAGTAAAGTGAAACAGGTTCTGTTTGCTGAGAATGTTCTTTGCATTGCATTTGGACATTTTGATGCAAACTAAAGCTGAGCACCTTTCCTAGGTCAACGCTGCATGGTGTTGTAAAAGTAAGGAAGCTCCTCAGTTTCCTTACTGATGGGCCTTTGATCCCCTCATGCTTGATATGTTGGCAGTAAGTCACTGTCACCTCCTCTGCATGCCCCTCACTGTGTGCACTGTGATGCCTTTTAAGTCTGAGGAAAAACCAAAACAAATTACTGGAAGACAAATTTCTCTGAAATTCTTGTTTTCCCAAACTGATATCTAAAAAAAAAAAAAACATGTGATCTCAGTTTATTAAACGGGAACGAAAAGCTTACCACACATAATCATCTAAAAATGAAGACATAAAAGAAAAACTCACGACATTGATATATATACTGATGCTTCTCATTATTATCGCTGTAAACTAAGTTAGTTAGGCATCTTAATGTTAAAGTTAGTTTGAGCTCCTACTTAAAGTCTTTTGCATGATCAGTGCTAATTCCTTTACACAGAATGTGCAAAAAAGTAAGTAGATTTATTCTGATTTTGATTTAAGGATAAGATTGCACATACCTCTTGTTTGATGAAAGAAAACCCCACAATGGTCACAAAAATAACTGTGAATCTGACAAAAGTGACAAATAAAAATGCTATGAAAATGAACAAATGAAAGTCAGACATTGCTTCTGAGCAGATAGAAGATTAGAATTCAACTTCATTGTGATTACACGTTCACAAGTACAAAGCAACGAAATGAACTCTCTGCATATAACCCTCCCTGTTGGGGAGCAGTGGGCTGCCATTGTGTGGCGCCCGGAGACCAGTGTGAACTCAGTACCTATGGGACCTAAGCGCATTGCCCTAACCACTAGGCCACTACTCCCCCAGATGATTAAAAAAAATAAGTGCATGAAATGACCATAATATTTTGCTGCTCAACATTTTGAAGTAAACCCTGCAATCAAATAATTCCTGTAACTGTCGGGGAGACCTCTGCTCCTCTCAGCAGGTATTTTGGTTTAATCTTCATGAGTAAACTGCTCCAGTTGTCTCAGGTTTAAAGGCCTTTTCCAGACATCATGTTTCAGCTCCTTCCAAAGGTGCTCAATGGGATTTATTTCATGGCTCATAGAAGGCCTCCTCAGAAAAGTCCAGTGTTTTCCTCTCAGCCATTATTGGGTGCTTTGAGTCATTATCCTGTTCCAGACCAATAGGACTAAAACCAAGCTTTCTGACGGTTGGTAGCACATTTCTCTGTAATAACCCTTAATATTCTTGAGATTTTATTGTACCCTGCAGAGATTCAAGACAGAGCCTCCTCCATGTTTCACAGTAGGGACAGGTTTCCTGATAGGCTTAATTTCTCCGTCTGTGAATATAGAGCTGATGAGCCTTTCCAGAACAAAAAATAAAATAAAATTTTTGTCTCATCTGTCTATAGCACCTTCTCCCAATGCTTTGTGGCTTGCCAACATGTTTGGTAAATGCCAATCTGGCTTTTTTACCAATTGTATTCAACAACTGTCATCTTTGGTTGTCTCCCATTAGGTCCACGTTGGCTCAAACTACCGATGGCGTGATCCGACACTGATGTTCCTTGAACTTTGCCTTTAATCTTCTAAGTTTCTCTGGGCTTAGCATTAATATTATCCATCTGTGATTTGTCATAAATTTTTCTCCTGTTGCCACGTCCAGGCAGGCAGATTGGCAACAGTTTAATTGATTTTACATTTCTGAATATGTTGTCTGTATGGTTTGAATGGCCTCATAGCCTTTACCTTTAAAATGCTTGTGTACAGTTTTTTTTCCCCAATCTCCCTGGAAATCTTTTCCTTTCCTTCCTCTTGTCAATGTTGAGTGTGGTACACACCTTGTCAAAAAATAGCATAGAGACTATCTGTAGCACTATACATAGTTCACTTACTGATTACAATATTGTATAAACCTCTGGTGGTAATAAGTGGACACACATTGTTTAACATGTCCCTTTGTCAAATAATTTGCATATTTAAGTAAGGGTACTATCTTTGTTTTCAAGACCTATTTGATGAGCGTTTTTTATCAATGTCAAAGCATGGTTGAAAAGCAATGTCTGATTATATTTTGCAGTTAAAAGCAGCCTTTAAACAAGATGATGACATTATTTTCAGACAGAAAATATTTCAAAACATAAAAGAATGATGTAGAAAGGATATAGTGGCAAGAAAAAAATTTGTTTATGGGTCTATTTAAATGTAATCAAAAATAAAGTGTCCCAAATCACTCAAATTCCTATGAATAATCAAAGGAAAAGCTTATATTGGCTGTTATAGCAACTGAACACTTTGCATGATTGCTGAAAAGGTTTGTGCAAATTTCCACTAATATGTTTGAGGATTCCTCTTTTGCAATAAGCTCTCATTTTAGAGAGGAAGGCAATCACGTCCTTACCTTAGTCTTAAAATCTGTATCAAATCATGGCGCAACAAAGTGTCAGAGCTTTGGATCATGTCCTGAAATGTCCAATGTTGCCGAAGACCCAGTTTCTCTGCAGAACGCCTGATGGTGAGAATCATTATGCATGTATTATCTATATGCATATAACCCTTTATCAGTATACCATTTACATTGTGTAAATCTGGGGTTCCCAATACTGGTCCTCAACTACCACTGTCCTGCCAGTTTAGACATAACTCTGTTTCTGCACGGCTGGTACAAATGATTATATAGACTCCCCAGCAGCTCTCAAGTGCTGCAGATGGCTGGTTCATTGAACTCAGGTATGTGGAAGCAAGGAGACCCATACTGTAAACATTGCATTGCAGTGCTACTTGAGGACAAGCATCAAGAGCCACTGATGTCAATATTGATACATACAGAAAATATCCCTAGGCGTTATGCTTCCACCAGCATGCTTGAACATTCAGGCTGTGTTGAATCTTATGTTTTTGACCAAATAACAGATGCCACAATGCTGCCGAAACATGAAATATTGAATTCAAGATCAAAGTTCTTTTTCTTTGACAAGATGAGACTTTGCATGGAACATTCGGGGGGGGTTAGTTCCATCTAACTCGAAGAAGTTGCTTCCTCATTGATCTGCATCAATAAAATCCAGCACTATGTGAGGTTCTTCCATGAGGTTTTACAACCAACTTGCCCACATTGCCCACCTTGATGATGATTTTCTGATTTTACACCATCAACTTTTTCATTAAAAGAGTCACTTTTGAATTCTGAATCCACACAGTTTCCAGTGTGGAGCTCATTGTAATTCTTTTAATATTTAAATGCCACTGGAACTTATTAAGACACTTACATGAAGCTTCAAAGCTATTTGCTCAGTTGTTAACAGCAGCAAACCAAATTCACTGGTCCCCAATGGGCTCTTTTGTTTTTTCTAAAACTTGCCACAAACCAACTGCAGAGAGCTGCTGCTTTTCATCTGTTGATTCCATGAAAACATTTCTTTTTCCATACTCTGTGAAAGAGATGGAATAGGGTAGGACCAGGTTTTACACCAGTTCGCAAATTGTGAGTTTGTATGAAAAATTCAGCTATCCACAATTCCACATTTATTTACAGCACATTGTGATAACATATTGTCACACAGGTATATTTTCTTTCCATCATAAAAAAAACATGCTGGTCAAATTGAAATATTTTTTCAAATCTAAATCTGTCAGTGATGTTATTAATACTGGGCACAACTGGAAGACCCTCTGACATTATAAAAAAAAAAGCTGAGTTAAATAAAGCAAACTTCATTGTATAGGAAAAAATAGTTTTATTATTGGTCCAAAACATACTATTAATACATAAAGCAGTGGTGCACAACATAAACTTATATATTATTACTAAAAGGACACAAAAAAGGCCCCAAAATACTACACCAATTTATTTATGAACACCTTAAAGTATTCCTATAAATACATTTTCTTTAAAACTTGCCTTGTTTCAGAATAAAGCTGATCAAATTATGAGAAGAATTCATAGCTTATAATAGAAAATATAATAGAAAAAATTGTTTTCTCATACTGACACTTAACAATTATCCTAAACTGTCCTGATTTAATATTTAAATCCATATTTGTTCCAATTACAATTTCTTGAATTAAGTCCATGTCAATATTTTTCAATTACATGCTACTTTGAATTTAGTATCTTATTTTAGGCACTTAATTCATGTTATGACTTTTTCACGACACTAACTTCTACCCAACTTATTTCCTTATGTTCATGATGTTATTCTCTTAAGCCTGTTTTTTTTTTTTAACAAAGGAAAGAGGCTATTAAAGATAAAAGTTAAATAAAAGCTAAAAGATATCTTTAATAATTTGTCATAAACTAACAGCATTTCTCAGAGAAGTGGTTCGGTCTCATTCCAGTTGACTAATGCATCTTTCCACCTGCAGGAAACAAAACCAAACATTTTAGGGAATTGAAAACATAATGTTTTTTATTATACAATGCTTTATTAGAGGCATATTTAATCACAATTTTAAACAAAAAAACATCAAAACATGTAGTGTTTTTTCTTATCAGTTATTGTGCAAATTAGAAAGACATAAGGAGGTCATACCTGGTTCTGATGCAGAGCTCAAGTGGAGGAATGAGATCAGCATCAATTTCTTGAAAGTTCTGACTCAATTTGCCAACAGCTGAAAACACAGTTAGCATTTTTATTTAGATGCAAAAAGGAGAGATCCAAACGAATGAAAAGCATCAGTTAGGTATAACATGATATCAGCCATTTATTATCTTTCGATCTATTCAAATCAGACACCAACTTATGATTTGGTCATCAGAATTAGTATTAGCATTCCCTGATGGTAAGGAATAAGAATAAATAACAACGGTAAGAGACATCTTTGAAGCATGTGGTTTTGTTTAAAAATAAGCTTATCGGATCAACAGAGGTAAAAATTAAACATACAAACAGTGAGGCGGATTTCCTCCTGCTGATTGGCCAGCCCATCATAATAGTACAGGTCAAACTCCAGTTCTTCCTTCTGACTGATCAACAGCTCCCTCTGCAGGCCGAACAGCACACTGAAGTGGCTTTCACTGCACACCACCCACACAGGGTAGGAGGGAGACTTCAGATGATTTCCCACCTTAGTAAGAAAACACAGAAAATTCCTTATAAAAGCAAACCTAAGGTAACATTGCAGGGTACTATAGAGATTTCTACATTGCATCTGTGTATAATAAGAAGCTGATCCCCATCCCTAATTCATTCAGCTGCATTTTGGTGAGTGGTGAAAACTTTGAATATCCCTCAAATATCGACAATCACCATGAAGAGTTCAGCATGGCTCACCTGACAGATATTATAATGTTCAAACAAGGACAGAAGGCCGACTTGGCAGTGGTCCTTTATTCCCTTAAGCAGAGTCATGTTGCCGTTTCCCGAGTCGAGCTCTATGTCATTATCAAACACATTAGAAACCGCTCTGCCACAGAGCAGCAGGTTGACCAACTCCTGTAAAAATAACCAAACAATATAAAATACTTTTAGTTACATAAATCTACAGAGCCCTAAAAGAGGTATCAAAGAAAAAAAACAAACAAAAAATCTCCCATTTGCATCAGATTCTATTTTCATGCACACCAGATAATTTAATCAATTCATTGAGTAACTAAGAGTATTTTGGCCTACTGTGTTTATTAAAATGAAAATACCTGACCTAATTGTGCTGCATTTCTAATTTTATGTTGTTTAATGACAACATTAAAAAACAATTAAAACTAACTTATAGTATATTCCATTTTACCTAGACAATCTTTAAATATGTCACTAAAAAAGATACTGTAAGAAAAAAAGGAAGGAGGAGAGAAGGAGAGGAGGTAAGACAATAGAGAGAGGGGAATATAACTTGGGAAGGAGAAAAGGAACATGGGACACAAGGAAGAGAGGAGGAAAAATACAAGCGATACAGGAAATAAGGGCACCAGAAAGACAGGTTGCAACAAAACATGAAGAGAAAGGAAAAAAGGAAAAAAAGGAAAAAAAATTAGAAAAGAGATTAGTTATAAAGTAAGAAATTACAATATTTTAAAGTCTTTTATTTTGTTTTTGCTCTTAACCAGAACTTGAAATATTAAAATAACATTTCTAACTGCTACAGATTGTGTAGTCAACTTTTAAATTTGGCTTAAAGCATTAAAACCTGAGTGCAGTAGCCATGAGCTCCTATTAGCGTAGTTGTATGGAGGTCCATATCCTCTCTCACTCTGAGAAGAGAAGAAAAAATAATAATAACCACACTATCAATGCAAAGCTAGTCATACTGAATATACTGTTGTAAAGAACAGAAAAGGTTTTTTTTATTTACTTTTCAATGGATCGAGAGAGAACAGCCGAGATGGTCAGAAGAATGCATCCTAAGACCTCGGTTTCATACTGTGGATTAAATGCAAAGATAAAAGAACATGTCAACATAGATTTGACAGGCAAGATTACAAAAACTAAAACCAAGAAAGGTATTCACTCTTTCACCTGCTCAATGTGCTGTTCCAGAATGACCTGCAGATCGTTGATGTTGTCCACAGAGAACCACATCATCTGGATCAAAAGGTGTTCAGAAAACAAGGAGTCAAAATAAAATCTTAACAAAACAAAAGAAAAAACAAAAACTTAAAGGTAGAGAAGATGATCTTTTATTCTCCTGGTGGATCATCTAAATAAGTGGTCCACCTAATTGTCAATCATTCTGATGATATGTTTACGTAAGGCTGTCCTACTTTAGCTATCTTTTTGTGCGCATGCGCACTTTCAGCCACATATATGTGGTTTCAAGCATTCATTGAAGCTCACCTTTCTCACCGCGGTTCTTTGAAAATGGCCGAGAGTTGCAAGAGGAAATGTGTCTACGAAGTGTTTGAGAAGAAAAGAAAGGCCTCAGGAGAGGCAGATATATCCTAACAAAGCATTATGGGATTTGCTGTCACAGCGGCCCGCTGTCGCCAGAGCCTGTCGTTGCCTGACAGTCGCGACTAATAACAAAGATGGCACAGGCACCGTGCGGTCGAAGAGGAGTAATGTAACAAACGGTAAGCAAAAAGTAGTGATCATCTGTCCAATCAGTCAGTTAACCGAGTTTGCTATAAAGCTTGTATGAGCTATGAGAATAGCACATTTTAAACAGGGCGTGCACAAGGAGAAATATGCTCACGCATGCTCTTGCACATGCATTTTTTCTTTCTTTTTTTTTTTTTTTTTAAGTAAAGAGGCTGGGTCTTTTAAAAAATACTCCACAATAGCTTTAACACTAAGAGCAATTGGGCTTGCTACAGTTTCGCAGTGGTTAGAGCTCACTACCCATTTATGGAGGCATTAGTCCTCGACGTGGCCGACCTGTCCGAGCTGTGGTCACTTGCCGCATGTCGGATACCCCTTTTCCTGTCAGCCTACAGTCCAAAGAACGAGCCACTAGTGCCATTAAAAAAAAAAAAAATAAAAAAAAAAAAACAGCTCTAAGAGCAATTGAGCAACATGATCAAGTGGCCACAGCAACAACAGCAGCACATAAATAAACTAGAGATCAAATAATACTGAATACTTCAGTTGTATTTAGAAACCTGAAATTCAGTTCTATCATAAGAATAATTGTGAAGTCATTCATGATTGTTGCCAGAAGTTTATAGAAACTCATCTTGTGCATGAGGGTTTTTCTTTGAGCCTTCAATGATGCATCATACATCTTCAATATTTTTATAAACAGTTTATAATGTAAAACATCTGCTTCCATGCTGACAGTCCCGCTGGTATTCCAGTATCTTTCAGTTTGAGGATTTAGGACTCTGGGACTTCCTTTTTAATGTCCTAAAGATGACTGGAAAAAAACTGGGTGTTCTGATCAGATAATCACTCTGCATCAAAACTGGTTTTAGAATAGAAAGAAAAATAACTCATAGAAAAAGCACATGTTAAATAAATTATTATTGAAAGCCCTAAATGAACAGGAAATATAAGTATATGATAAATGCATGAACACTTACGATCATAACAAACAACCATATTGATCATCTTTACCTTATCAAGCAGTCTTTCAGATCTGTACTGTCCAACTGGGGTGAAATGGCTTCTTCCTGAACTTCTATTATTCAGAAAAAGAAAAGAAAAGAAAAAAAACTTGATATGAAAGCAAACTCAGTTTCAAACTGTGGCCCAGCTGATTTCTAGGGCATTTCTCAGATGAACGGGTTTGACAGCTGGTGGGGATGTGAGCCCAGTTTGAAAGAGACCACTCATCTGAATCTGACACCTGATGTGACCTTTATATTCTATACAATCTATTCTCACAGCTTGAGATTAATACAAAAAGACAATCATGTGGGTCTGTGCACAGGATAAAAAAGAAGAAGAAAAAGCAAATAAGCTTAGGTTTCAGCAAACGCTACACGACATAAATGTGGAAACATTACTAGACAGAGGAAGGCGTAGGTCATCTTTTTCATGGCTTGTTATTGCCCAACCTTAGAACAGAAAATCCATTTATTGTCCCACAAAGGGGAAATTGCTCAGCCAGATGTGCCTAATAAAGCAGTACGAGTACAAGTACAATTTATTACAAAAACAAATATCGATACTCAGTAAATGCATAAAGGTAACTTAGCTTCTGGTGTTTTTCTTACATTACAACTACTGCTTTTTGTTCCTCCCCAGCCCGCCACAACACTTCAGCCAGAGCTAAAACAAGACACTGTCTTCTGGTACTGTTGGAAGGTCTCAGGCTCCTGTAAACAAAATCAAAAAGGAGTCAGAACCAGGTGGTCTGCAATCAAAGACACATGAAACAGATTTCTCATGATAACACAACACCAAACTGTACATAACTGAGAAATGGAGAGAAGAGGACACCTGGTTTTTTGTAAGGAAATTAGGCAAAAGATGAATGCATGCTAATGGGTCACATCATATAGTAATAGTCCTAAGCAGTAGCAGGGAAATAGATGGCATAATAAACTAAAATATATATTTTTTAAGTTGCTGTTAAGCTATAAACCATGTAGACCTCACAGTCAAACAGAGACCTGATACTTACTGGAACCAAACAGGGGGGGGGCAGCATTTACTTTTTAAGCTAATTATCTCAAGAACAAACTCCCTGAAAATCCAAGATGTGCAGAAACAGTTTTTCTTTAGTTAGGACTGAGAATATTTTATAACTGCAGCCTCTTATCAAAGAACCCGACTAATGAACTGTTTGAACAAATGTTTACTTCATCTCTTAATACCTGTACTTCATCTCTTCCTCACGTGTCCTGGTTTCATACTTGGTGCTTTGTTTATGTTTATCACTCCTTTAATAAGTGTCACGTCGAACACTTTGTAATGCCTTGTCATTGAATGATGCCCTTTATAATTTAACTGACCTGGGCCAGGAGAGGGGTCACGTCCTTTTGTTCTCTTATATCAAACTCTAAATTTCAGATTTATGAGTCCATTTCAGCTCCATATGGACTGGAAAAACAGTACTACCATAGATACCAGCAAGTCAAAGATTATTGTTATAAGAAATTGCAAATCAAATAGGAAGAAGGAATATGATTTAATCTTTGTATTTTTTTAAATATATAAAAAGAAAGAGGATAAAATGTTGGTCTCAACACTTTATTGAAGAATTAAAACGTCTCTATGTAACATGAAACAAAAATGGGAGAAGGAGTCAGATACACATATAAGAAGAGAACTGGATAGATATACTAGAGAAACAAGCAACAACTGAAAATTCACAAATTTAAGAGAGCTTGGCTGGAAGAATGCAGTGAGATTTTTCATAACTCCAATTTAACAGCACTAAGATCAGGTACCCTGAGCTCAGAGTTTCGTTGGAGACAACGTGGAACCCCGATGGCTAACCACTTTAATGTGTTTGGGGCCCGTCACAAAATCCACTTATTTTGGAGCGAGGTGTCAGAGATCAAATAATAGGGGAAGATTTAGATTACTCTTTTGTCACCCTGTATCTCGGTCAAATTCCAAACCTTGCATAAGGACAAATTCTTCTGGCAAGTGGAAGGAAAATAATAACCAGGAGGTGGTTATAGATCTGTCAGCATTGGTCCAACATTGGCACGGGATCATTCAGGAAGGCTCAAACATGCATCCTAAATAGGGTGACATTTTGTTATAATGAATGTGTGTGTATGTACATGTAATTGGATATCTTAATTGTATTTACAGCTCCCATGACGAGCTCATGTTCTTTGTTCATGTATATAGATAAAAAGTTATGATAATAAAAAAAAAAATCCATGGCAATATTTCATGTTTTACTCTAGATCAGGGGTCACCAACATGGTGCCCGCGGGCACCAAGGGGCCCTCAAGGACCACATGGAGTGCCCTTAGAGTCTTCTGAAAATAGAAGAACTCAACAGTGAGCTACGTTTGAAATTTCATTGTATTCTGTTGCTCTTCTTTTTTAATCGGTTATAAATTTTATCATTTAATTATATATGGCATTTAAGCATTTATAGAGATTTCAAAATGAAAATGTCTAAAAGAAAATTAGAAATGTAAACAAAACGATAAAGATATGTTTATAATTTAAGAAGTTTAGGTGAACGATGACCCTTGCAATTCATAGGTCAGTATTGGTAGCCCTTCCTGTGACTCAGTGGTCCGGAAATAGCCCTCAACTGTAAAAAGGTTGGTGACCGCTGCTGTAGATTTTCTTATTACGGACAGGCTATGGCAGACAACTAAAAACTAGTTTTAAAGTTGGTAAAGACACACACTGCTTTGAAAAGTCTCTGACTGTAAAGCTTACTTACAGAAGGATGTTGCTGCTGTTATCAGTGTGTTCAAATAGAAGCTTCTTCAGAAAAAATGCTTGAATCGTTGCTAGAACTCCACAGGGACCACCCTGAAAAAAGGCAGAGGAAAAAGTTTTATACAAAGTTATTAAGAAAAATTTCAATAGTTGTTATGAAAATACATTTGCTTTATTGAGCCAGTTTTATTTGAAATTATGGTTTGAACAAAATAAAACAATTAAATAAAATCACCTTTTTCTGCACAATGCCATATCTGAGCTCACGTGTGTTCGAAAATGCAAAACCCTGATTTATCCACTCAGCACTGAAAGAACTCAAGCTGGAACCAAGGAGAACTGTTTTCAATTCCTACAAAAACAAAACAATGAAGAAACAAGCTAAAATCAAACAAAAGCTTCCTCTTCTGGTCTCCATGTCATAAAATCTGTCAGGTACGCACCATGGCAGTGTGCTGGTCCATTGGGCAGCCTACAAAGCTACACTTTAGAACAGGCGCCTGAAGGGACACTTCTGGCAGATCAACATCATCAATATCATCTGGAAATGTAATTAAAAAAAAAAACAGAAACAACAACATATATTTGGCAAAAGAAATTAATCAAAATAATGTGCGACAAATTGCTTTATTTCAGGGCTCACCTAACACCATCTCTGACACATTTAGTTCATGGACATTCGGTCTGGTCTTCATCCTTTAAACCGCAACACACAAAAATCTCTGGCTATAAACTTCTGAAAACTATTTGAAGTGATGAGGTGCAATTAGAGTTAGTAACATCCCAATGTTTACTTTATCTCATTCCCTGTGCTTTGTCCTTTTCTTCTGTAGTTCTTTTCATCCAGGTTTTCCTCTGTTAAGTTGACATCTAGATTTTCTTCACCCCCGCCAGATGTGTTTTTGAAAGCCAGCTGAGGTCCAACTAAGGATTCTAGGTTTCCCTTTTCCACGCAGAGTATTGGCTGGGCCAATTCGACTGTCTGACTCTGCCTTTTTCTATTTGTTTCCTTCAACGAAAACCATCATGATAAACACAAGAAGGAAGCTATCGGGGTTATAAAATAAACAGGTTCCTAAGAATCATAAAATAAATACCTTAGGTACTGGTCCAGCCATTAAGCCTCGTCTGATATGACCGGTTTTTCTTCTCTGGGCGACCCCATCGATTAAACCGTCTCCCCGTGCCTCTCTTTTGGAAAAGTCCTCCTGCTTAGAAGGCACTAGTGACTGGACTTCCTGATTGTCTGTTTTGTTAATTAAGAAAGTATTTGAATTCAATGCAGCAGGTCTGTCTTTCTTAGAAGTCATTGATGGATTTGTCACCTGAATATTGCACTTTTCTTTTACTTCAGACCTAAAAAAGAAAAAAGAAAAAAACATGGATAATCTCAGCTTAGTACAATATAAAATTTTAATTATACATAGAATTTTTGTCTGTGAAATACCTGGTTTCTGTGTATTTTGTCATACAAAACGCTGGTGTCATGTCTTTTGCCTTTGTTTCATTTATAATTGATGGTGTTCCTGGAGGGCAATCGGATGCTGAGCCAGTAGTTTGGTCTATCTGCTCACAATCTCCTGTGGTGATCTTTTCATGGTGCAACCGTTCAATGTGATGCTTCACAATGATTTCCAATAATGTTTTCAAAGGCGATTTCTGAACCTGCATTTATGAGCACGTCAAATTTAGACAATTTTCTACATCCTGGACATGCATTTCTTCTATTTATCCTGATGGATGCACCTTATTTTTTCTGTAGAGATCTTCAATGTTTAGCAACTGCTTCAACAATGATCGGTTGTTTATACTGGCCTGAGTGCGTGGATGTTCCTCATCCATACAGGCGATGGTCCTTCTCAGGCCCTGTGCATTAATACCATGCAGTGCACAAGTGTCAGCACAAAAATAATGATGGATAAATGGACGAATAGACAGATAAGGCAAATTGGTTTACCTACAGTATTCCAACAGAAAGCAATCCAAAGTGCCCAACATATAAAGAAAGAAACACTTTACAAGTAACTTAATCCCTTATCTTATACTTGAGACGTAATGGAAACGTAAATAGCAACACTAAAATTAGAAGCTGCAGCTAAACATTTTTTTAAGTCCTGATATCCCAGTTTTTCAGGGAAAAGAGATAATAGCCTGTCTGTTTACTGCAAGCCGATCCTGGTTATTAGGTCCTGGGAATATCGAATAAGATTTCTCTGATAGCCTAAAGGGACTCCATGGTTTGTACTGCACAGGCATCTCAGACAAGTATTTAAAACAGAGGTTTTTTTTACTGCTTACTTGATTAGTAGTTTGTTAAAATGTCAGGAAAATGGATGAATCAGTTCGCCTGTTTGATTTTAAGAGTAGACTACATTAAAATAGGAAAATTAAAGCAGGGGTAGGGCTGTGTAATTTAATTTAATCAATTAATTTGATTTTCTATAATTCAAGATTTAACTTATGGCTTTCATGGCTCAGAAGGACATCAATTCATCACTTCTTGTTTTTAGATCTATACTAAAAACTGATTACCTAGCTAAATGTGATATTCCACTAGCTGCAAAAATGTAGTGATCTTGAATTAAGGTCACTTCTTTAAGGGTTGGGAAAATAATGATTATTTATTTTATTCTTATTATCAATTCGGAATAGGTTGCTGCTAATCAGACAAATCTAGTGTGATGCAGAGGTTTGTGCAATCATAGTAGAAAACAATGGAACTGATCATCATAATATATGTGTGTTTTAAATGGTTATTTTTTTCAATATCCTTAAATAATGACTGAACATGTTAAGTTTGCAGAGAATAACAAGTTTGGATCTCCAGCCTACAGCTTTTTTTTTTTCCCTTTTTTTTTTCTTTATTTATGCTTGGTGAGGCGGTTGTTCTCTTTCCTTTAGCAAACGCCAAAACTAAAATACAAAAAATCCTGTAGCTCATCTTTGCTAACGCGAGCTAGCTAGTAGCTAATTAACCTTCGCTGGACCATAATGTTCGATAACTTACCTTCCTGCTCAGGTATTCCCGCACTAGAGACGAGGAAACCTCTTCCACAGAAGGAACCATGATAACAGCCAACTCGTCCAAATGCTGAAAGTCCAGCAGAGACACACACACACACACACACAAAAAAACTATCAACAACTAGCTGCACCGCCCTGCGCCGACAGCGCAGATCTCACAGTAGTTGGATGGACCCGTTATTGTCATAGATTACGCCGCAATGTGTACTAGTTGGATATACGGGTATGGATTTTAAAGATATATTTCCTTGTTTGTTGCTTCACCCAAACGAAACCTCAAAATGTTCACCCGCCAACAGACCAGGAAGACTAGATGGTAGGTGAAGGATGGGAATATATTTTACAGATCAGCGAAACTGCGCACCTGTTTGTACGTCATCGCGCGTTACCATGGTTTTAGGAATCGCTTCCTCTGGGATATGGGTTACATTCCTCTATGGAAGCCCGTTTGCGCCACTCTCAGAAGAAAGAAAATGTAGATCCAATATTAAGAAGTAGTTATCTTATAATTATGAGACACTATTAGATAGCTAAGTTATTTTTCTCACACAGCTGAAGTCAATTTGCCTGATAAAAGGATGGCACTTTTAAGTTCTGCCAAATATTTCAAGGGGTTTTTATTTGGACTTTGACTGGACCATCCTCACAAGAACATTTTGTAATTAAATCCTTGTAGCTTTGGCTGTGTGGTTGTTCTGCTGGAGAGTGATTGTCCCCGCCACCTCTAAATCATCTTTACATTTTCATTCATCTTTGTTTTTATTATTTTAACCTGTGTCCGTGTGCCTGTAATAATACGATTTTTTTTTTATCTACAATTTTTCCAATGACCCAACTCTGGAAATCATTGTGTAGCAAAAAAAAATCACATGACACAAAAGTCATGTGGAAAAAAGCTGCCAAATTCCAAGGAATTATTATTTTATTTTTTTTATTACGAAAGACTAGAACTACTGTACAATTAAAGGTTACCGTATGTACAATTGTATCCAAGGCAAAATGCTGTGCTGCCTGTTTATATTAAATACTTTATTTTATGATGGTAAGTGAACATTGCTTTACCAAAAAGCAAAGCCCGACTGTAGAAGACAGCAGGAGTACCTGAGGAGACCCCACACATCCACTGGGAGATGGATAATAAATGTTAACAGATCTCAGGGCTGAATTCAAGCCTTTTTGCTGCAAGGCAACAGTGCATCCACCTGCACCAACTTGCAGGCCTTCTAAAGGAAATATTAAAAGAAAAAAGTGCTTTCTTAAGCCCAGAATTTCTTTAAACACAACTCAGTTTTTCATATATATATAGAATAAACCATGTTTGATGAAAACACTGCATAGGCACACTCCAACCACCATGGGACATTTAAGACAGGCTTACAGTAGTTATGATTTTTTTTTAAGCATGTTATAATGTTAAATTTACATATCTGATATAAGACTTCAATGCTTTAGTAGAGTTCTCCTAATGCTGAAAGCTACACATTCTCATGTCTCTCCCTGTCCTGTGAAAAACCAGTAGTGATAAATATCTTAAAACATGCCTGGAGTATCATATAGAACAAGGTTGTGTAGTGTTTACACCATAAAGGAATATAAACAAATTTGAAAATACATACTACACAAAGAAGGATACAGTTCAGAGGTGTTTTGATCTTAATTTAGCTGAGCCTTGTACTGTGAAAATTAAAGTTTAGTTTTATTTATTTTTTTTATTGAAATTTACATATAATTTAAACGATAATAATATTGCCATTGCTCCGTTTGCATGAAACTGAATTAGTGTGGTGTATGTTTAAGATCAAAATGTGGGGCTGGTGAGGTGTTAAACATCCCCAGCTCCCCTCACCTTATCTGCAATGCTGTGTTGTACCGTGCCAGGATTCTGCCAAAAGTCACGAAACAATAAATACTCCTACGAGCAGCTTCACCAGAAAACCAGTCAGTATCTGGTGTGACCACCATTTGCCTCATGCAAGGCAATACATCTGCTTCGCATAGAATTGATCAGGTTGTCAATTGTGGCCTGTAGAATATTGGTCCACTCCTCTTCAATGGCTATCCAAAGTTGCTGGATATTGACAGGAACTGGTACACGTTGTTGTATATGCAATCCAGGGCATCCCAAACATGCTCAATGGGTGACATGTCCGGTGAGTATGCCGGCCATGCAAGAATTGGGACGTCTTCAGTTTCCATGAATTGTGTAGAGATCCTTGCAACATAGAGCCATGCATTATCCTGCTCCAAAGTCAGTTGATGTTCTTGCATGTATTGCACAACAATGGGCCTCAGGATCTCATCACGGTATCTCTGTGCATTCAAAATTCCGTCAATAAGATGCACCATTGCTCTTTATCCTTAACAGACGCCTGCCAATACCATACTGTAACTCCACCACCACCGAGGGCCATTCGATCCACAACATTGACATCAGAAAACCGCTCACCAACACTATGCCACAGACATTCTTTGCCATCTGCCCTGAACAGAGTAAACTAGGATCCATGAAAAGAACACCTCTCCAACGTGCCAGACGCCAGCGAATATTAGAATTTGCCCACTCAAGTCTGTTAGTCAGGTTGAGACCCCGATGAGGGCAACAAGCAAGCAAATGATCTTCCCTGAGACGGTTTCTGACAGTGTGTGCAAAAATTATTTGGTTATGTAAACCAGTTTTTTTCAGCAGCTGTCTGAGTGGCTGGTCTCAACGATGTTGGAGGTGAACATAGTGGATGTGGAGGTCCTGGGCTGGTGTGGTTACATGTGGTCTGAGGATGGTTGGATGTACTGCCAAACTCTCTGAAATGCCTTTGGAGACGGCTTATGGTAGAGAACTGAACATTCAATATATCAACATCTCTGGTTGACATTCCTGCTGTCAGCATGCCATTTGTAATTAAACCTCTACTTAAGAAACCATCTCTTCACCCAGATGACTTGTTCAATAAGATACCTATATCCAATCTTCCTTTCTCATCTTAAATTCTTGAGAAAGTAGTTTCCAAAGAAGTGTGTGACCACTTACACCATGATGAACTTTTTGAAGAGTTTCATTCTGGCTTTAGAGCTCATCATAGCAGCTCTGGTGAAAGTCACTCATGATATTCTCATGGCCTCAGATAATGGACTTGTATCTGTACATGTCCTGTTAGATCTCAGTGCTGCATTTGACACAGTTGATCATAATATAATTTTAGAATAGCTGATCCAAAATGCTGCAGCAAGAGTTCTGATGAAAATTAAAGAGAGATTGTATTTCTCCTATCCTAGCTTCTCTTCATTGGTTTCAATGCAATCAACGGGTTTTCCTTAGATAGAAAGCTGGTTGAATTGTAAAGTTCCTTGAGATGACACATGTTTTGAATTTGCGCTTTATAAATAAACTAAATTGAACTGAATTTAATTGCATGTTTCCTCAAATCTTGTTACACCTGTGGCATTGTGCTGCATGTAAAAATTGCACCTTTCAGAGTTGCCTTTTTTTGTCCGCAGTCTAAGGCACACCTGTGCACTAATCATGGTGTCAAATCAGCATCTTCATGTGGCACACCTTTGAGGTAGGGTGGATTATCTCAGCAAAAATAAAAGGTGCTCACTATTGCAGATTTAGACTAGTTTGTGAACAATATTTGAGGAAAATGGTTACATTATGTATGTGGAAAAAGTTTAAGTTTATTGAGTTTAACTCATAAAAAAGGGAGCAAGGTGAAAAGTGCTGCGTTTATATTTTTGTTGAGTATATCATATGTGCTCCTATTACCATGGTTATCATCATAACTTCCTTAACTTTGATATCAGGAAAATAAAAAGTAAAACAACTGCAAAATAATATCTACCTTTAACCAAAAAGCTGTATTTTCTATTGGTTTTACTCTTATTATGCTTTCAATTATAATAATTTGACTTCTATTCATGTTTGTTTATATACATATTTTGCCAACAAAATAAAATAAAATGATTAAAAAGATATAAGAATATTCCAGGATAAGAACAAGCAAGTCATAATTTTTGAGGAGGTCATAATTATAATGTTATCAAGCTTTATAATGTAATAATCCCCACTAGGCATGTATACTCCTCCATAGTTCCATATAGTTTTATGGGATATAGAATTCTGGTGAACAACAGTTTGCAATAAATCTGAAGTGTTTCAAAAAATATTATTCTCAATGCAAAAAAACAATCATTATCATAAAAGCATAGACAGAATGACACATTTAAAGTTTCAGTGAATAGCTATTAGACATCACAGTCATGATTTTTAAATTTTTATTTTATTAAAACTTGCTCTCTATTTATAATATAAGACAATATTCAAGCTAGGCTACTTTTCCTTAACTATCAAACAATAAAAATTAATTCTCGACAAATTAACAATAATATCTGTGTCAAGAATTTGGGGGACATTAGGTGTGTGCATGAATAAAAGTCCATCTTTTTTTGTCAGATTCTGTATATAAAAATGAGATATGTTCCTTACTGCAAGATGTGGCAGCTCTGATAATACTTTGACAAGTGCTGCATCTCAGTCTGAGATCACATTAGAATATTTTCTGCTTATGGACCATGAAGTGTGATATTTACAATGCAGATCAGCAACATTTTGGACAAATGAACATGGTTAGGGTCTCACAACAATAAACATTTAAAGTACAGGGCGATCTCTGGTAGTAGAACAGGAATCTGTCTGTTTTGGCACAGGTATCATCCGACATCCGGGCAGCATTTTCCATTTAGCAACACGTAAACAACAACTTCATTTCTTATGTATGTATGTTTGTGCATGTGCTGTGTATCCTTGTCTTAGGAATGCCAAGCATAATGTCCTTCCCTCTACCGTTTGACCACAGTGGATTTATTGAAAAACAACAGGGAAACTCTTTCAAAATGGAAGGGCATCAGTAGTCATAAGCTGCAAAACAGAAACAGAAGAACGGTTATCAGCATCTGCTATTCTGCCTAAGTTCCAGCAGAAGAGGAGCATGCGATCCACTTCGTTAGGTGATGTAGTTCCAGGGAATGATCGCCATGCAGTCACACCAGAGTGGTCTTACTTTCTATTGTGAGGATGCAGGTACTGGCTGCTGTGCCCCTGCTGTTTACAGCCTTGCACATATACTCCCCCTCGTCCTCCGGGAAGGTCTCCGGCAGGTAAAGGCAGTATGTCTCTCCTCTTTCAATATACTGATAGTCCTCACAGTCCTGGAGCATCTCTCCCTCAAACCACCAGGTGACTTCTGGCTTTGGCTCCCCAGTGATCTTAACAGTGAAACGAACTGGCTCAGAATCCACCACGGACTGGTTTTTGAGGGGCTTTTTGAACCACGGTGCCCCTGACCTCGCATGATCTTCCTCATCTTCATAGGCTGCCGATCCGTTGATGATGCTGCCTTCATCCTCTACATCATCCTCCTTTTTCTGTAAAAGGACAAAAACAGTTATGTTTTCTTGGAGAAATTAAACAAAGCTCAAACTGAACCTTTTACTTATAAGACATGTAAGAATCAGTAGGAGACATTGGTACTTTTTGCAGGGCGGCGTCAATTTCTTGCTGTTCGAACTGCATCCTCTGCAGCTTCTGCTCCTCTATCCTCCTCCGTTCCTCTTCCTCTCTGGCTTTGGCCATTTGTTCAAACCGAGCACGCATGTCCACCTTATGTTTGAACGGTGAGTCCTCAGATCTCACTGGGGTTGTCTCTCTTTCCTCCTCTTCCTCGTCCTAAAAGGCATTGGACTTATTTACAATGTCAAAACAGGATATCTAAACCCATCATGTAAACAGAAACATATTTAAAATTTTTCTATTATCACCGTCTGATATTGAGTCAGGTTAAAATGTTCCCATTTTAGGTCCATTTGAATAACAAATATCAACTTTCTAACCAGTTTTTTTTTATATTTAAATTCATTAGTATTTAGTTAGAATTGCCTTCAAACCAGATGATTTCGTTAAAAAATTTGGGAGTATCCTTTCTCATTAAAGCAAACTGAGAAATCTTGTTATAATAATTTCCCAGAGTTTTGTCCCATTTCTCCTAACAGAACTGGACTCACTGAGTCTAATTTAAAGCTGCCTTGCCCATAAACCATTTCAGTTATGCACACTAATTTTCTACAGGACAGCAGGCCACTCCTAAACATTTAATCTGTGATATTTAAAGCACATTGTAAGGTAAATTATAAATTGTGCTGTCTGATCTATTAGTTAATGAAAATTGAAAATGTTGGATTCATACTTTCATGGTAAAATTCCTAAGAATATTTTGGGTTTCAAAGGATGCTTATAGGTTGTGAGTAATCTATATATATATATATATATATATATATATATATATATATATATATATATATATATATATATATATATATATATATATATATATATATATATATATATATATATAAAGCTTGATTTAGCACTTGAGCTGCTTTACCTCCTGGGCCCTCTCAGCTTCTCTCTGTTTAATTTCATCATCAATGGCCTTCCTCCGCTCTCTTTCCATCTCAATCTTTTTCTGGATCTCCTCCTCCGTCAGCTGCTTGATTTTCTCAAATTTGGACTTGAGGTTTTTGGCCTGAATGGAGCCAGTTTTCTTGAGCTTTGTCAGCTCTTCATATTCTTTGCTTATGACATCCGAGCTTTCATTAATTTCATCCTGCAAAATATTGGCACAATGAATATTTAGGCACAACATCTCTGTCCAAATCCCTTTGAGTAATGTAGACAAATGCACATGAAAATTAAATCCCTGTTTGCTTGTCATAGTCACAAAGATTTAAGTCTAAAATATGTTTAAAAACGTTAGTTGTAGAACTATCAAAAACAAATATAGAGGCCCCACAGGAAAGATCATAATGTTTTAACTTAAATTCAAAGGACATACCTCTCCCATCTCTTTTCTGAGCTGCTCAAATTCCTGTTTTTCCTGTTCGAGTTTCTTTTTGCGTTCCTCAGCTTTCCTTCTCCTCTCAGCCTCCTCTTTTTCTTTAAGGAGCTCCTCAAAGTTGATCTCTAATTTTCTGGGGTGCAGAGCCTCCTGAGAGTCACTCTTTACCATCTCCTCATCATCCTCCAGCACCTGAACAAAGCATAGCATAACATAACAAGCTTCAATCCCATTATGGCCTTTGGCTCAGCATGCTGCCCATTACTGTCCTGCGCAAAAGTTTACATTTTGCTGTTTTTTATTCTCAAATTAACATTTAAGTTAAATGTTAAGCAACCGTTTCATCTCCATATGCAGACTTTTTCTGATCCACAATATGCCTCTTAAAGAAATGATAAACAAAGTGGATATGGTAACTAAAATTCAGAGGGATCACTCTGGCCCATTTGAGTAATTAAAGGAAAATATTGAAAAGGCTGGGAGTTTACACTCCTCCATTGAGGTATGGAAGTCGGAATAATCTGAGGGTTTCAATGATGTGCATGCACTGTTGCTTTTTGGGGGACCAAATGATTATACCAATTATTCCATACATTTCTTGAATATACAGTACCATGCATCACTGGCCCATCAGTTTCTCAGCATGATGCCAAAATTTTCTTCAGTTTTTCAGCTTTACTTCTCATAAACCTTGAAAATTTCAGAGCATTGTTTGAAAGTCTAATCCACAGGGAACAGACTAATTTAAATTAGATCTCCCATTTCTAGTAGAAAATCCAAAATTATGTTCAAGCCTTTTTATTGGTTACACAAATCATTTAAATTCTCTGAAACCTGTTAAGTTACGTTTAACCAAAAGTAATAACTTGGTGTTTACATATTTGATCTTTACATCTGTTTGGATCAGAGAAAATCAACACTAAATGTATCCAGGACTTTGATTACAAATATTTTTCATTCATTTTATGTTATTAATCCAGGACGGAAAACTGTTACAGATGCATGATTAAAACCCCCAAGTCATTATGACTTTAATACTCATGATAAGTGTTTTTAAACTTTTTACCAGAACTATATGAATAAAGAAGCCTGACAGAGCTTGGACATGTTAGCGACCAGCCAAACACACATGCTGGAAAATTTGGCCACTAAGTCAGTGAGGCTCACCATGCTTTTGCGGGCCTCAGCAAAGAGCCTCTTCTCCTCTTCCAGTCTCCTCTTTGCCTCCTCCTCTGCCTTCCTCTGCTCCTCCTCGCGTCTCTGCCGCTCTAGTTCTTCAAAACTGACACATATTTTCCCAGGTTTGCTGCCCTCCAGGTTCAGCAAGGCCATCAGTACTTCATCGTCTTCATCTATGAGCTGAGAAGAATACAGGCCAAACTTTAGGGTCTAAACTTTGACATTGTTTGTGAGGAAAAGTTCACCATTACTACCACCATAGTTTAGATTTTTTTATTTTGTTTGTGGGTTTTATTATGTTGTTTCCAGTTTTGCAGGTGTTTTTTTTTTTTTTAGCCTTATTCCGCTGATGTTTGTTTTGTTTTTTTTCCTGATCTGAAATTGATCATCTATGTATTCTATGTGATTGGATTCTATATAACCTAAATCTGCTACTTAATAGAAGGTATTGCCATAATGTATGTAATTTGTTATGTAAAATTTTATAAATAAAGGCTGAAATGAACAGATTTTATGGTAATAGTGCCAGTTATTAGATCTAACCCAAATAATTCTTTGTCTATTTTCTATTCTATTATCAAAACTAATACTTGGGACTGTTGGCCCAGTGGTTGGAGCAGTGCACTTGTGCTCTAAGAAGGTTGCAAGACCCGGAGCCTGCACTCCGGGTCTCTGAGTAAGACTCTTAACCCCACACTGCTCCCCGGGCGCTGCACAATTTCAGCCCACTCCTCCCCAAAATGATGGATTAAATGCAGAGAGTTAATATCTCGAAGGGCCTCTACCATATTTTATCCACGAGATAGATTGCTAAACACTGCACATAGTTGTATAAATACTTTTCATCCAAAAAGAAATGAATACTGACCATGCTCTTCCTTGCTTCAGCAAAAGCTCTCCTCTCCTCCTCCATGCGTCTCTTTGCCTCCTCCTCTGCTTTCTTGCGCTCCTCTTCAACCCTTTGTCTCTCCAGCTCCTCAAAGCTCAGCCTCAGTTTTCCAGGACGCATCTCTTCTTTGTCGTCATGATCCTCTTCACCGATGTCCTCATCATCTTCCTAATGAGATGTAAATTTCATATATGTTGAAAAGAATTTATCCTTTGAATTTGACTGTTTTTATAACTTTAATTATTGTACATTATAAGGTGTCTCTGTGAGAAGGTTCAGTCCAGGAAGTCATAACTTTATTGAAATTAAAGGCATTTTGTTTACCATTCCTTCCTTGGCCTCCTTAAAAGCCTTCTTCTCTTCTAGCAGGCGTTGCTTGGCTTCTTCCTCAGCTTGCTTCCTCCGCTGCTCCTGACGTTCCTTTTCCAGTTCCTCAAATGTCAGCTTCAGTTTTCCAGGAGTCACTGACAACTTCTCTGAAGGTTTCTCCTCTTCATCCTGGTATAAAGTAATTAGACTTTTAAATCCACCAATATGGAAAAGCTGTAAAACAGTTTTAGAAAGCTTTAAAAATGTACCTGTTGAACAACAGAGCGTCGCTTTGCCTCCCTGAAAGAGCGTCTGTTTTCATCATATCGTCTTTTCTTCTCCTCCTCTACCTTTTTCCTCAGCTCCTCCTCTCTGCTTTTCTCAATGTCCTCAAAGTTCATCTTGATTTTGCCCGGAGGTCTTGATGTCTTTGCTGGAACCACCCGTATCAGGATTGTGTCATCTCCTTCCTGCCAAATAAATAGAGATTGATTTAGTGTATGTGTGTGGAGAGGGGACACTCTGCAGGGCTAATGTAATCATCCACAGTGGGGTCTGTGAAAGGGTGAGGAGTGTGAGTCTAAGATAGCTGAGTCTAAATCTGTCACAGGAGGGGAATCTAGAGCAAATGTAGAGACTGGGTGGTGTGGGAAACAGTTGGTAGGAATCTGCAGTCTACACCTGGCAGCTCTCTTCTACTTCTTTCTGGATCGCAAAGTAACTTAGATCATGATAACCAGCAGGAAAAATATTAAATAAAAGAGGATAAAGTAAAAGTTTTAAAACTTTGTTAAAAAAAATCTGCATTTTTAATCTTGAAATTGGCTGTTGTGAACCATTGAATAAAAATGTGTGAACACATTTTTATTCAATGAAATATATTACATAATTTATACATGGTAACAAAAATACTTTAATGCATGAATCCCAAAAACATTTTTGCTTCTTTAAGCAAAAATAACAGCGCCAAAGACTCTAATACCTGCAGGACAACTGCAGGTTTTAGAGGTTTCCCTGCTCCAGCACAGCTGATTTACGTTGATAGTTCATTAACAGGCTTTTGCTGAACTGCAATCATCAGAATCAGCTGTGCTAAAGCAGGGGAAACCTCTAAAACCTGCAGGACAGCGGCCCTCAAGGACCGACTTTTCGGGATGCGTGCCTAGCTTTAAAGTATGACAACCTACAACACAATACAGTGTTATACAATTCAGTGCCTTCCTATACAATATAATGCTCCACAGTGTGATACAATGCGATACAATACAATACATTGTAATGTGATGTAAAATAGCGCAACAGAAAACAATTTAATATGCTGCAATATGACGCAGTGATATATAATATGATACAGTAAAATATAAGACGATACAATCAATGTGGCAGAATACAAAACAAGACAAAAAGCAAATGGGTTTTGAATTTTTTTTTTTTCTCCAGCAAAACATTATAGTTCTTTGCTTAATTAGGAACCAAAGCAGAGATGCAGGAGGAGGTAGAAATGTACGAGTAGCTGGTGCCCCACTAAATTTGTTTCTGTCTTGGTCACATACAACACAAACCTGGCTCTCTTTAATGAAAGCATTCGTCTAAACCGAAGAGAACAAGTTACACCTCTGCATACAAAAACTTTGCTCAAAAATTTAACATTTCACTTCCTTTGAGGATAAAAGCTGGTGCTGAAACAAGTAATATACTGAAACCAATCTCAAGGTGTAAGATATACAGTAGCTAACCATAAAGTAGGCTGAATCTCTCAAGTATCTCTAAATTAACACGGTCCAGATAAAGATTTCCATCTGTTATTCCTTAAAACTCTTTTAAAGTCATTTACACTTAGCTAAAGCAGAATTAGGGCATGGTGATAGCAGGTAATTTCCTGTAATTACCTATTTGGCAGAAGAGTGCTTACATAATCCTGTCCGAAAACAGTATTAAGCCTTACATTACTCTTTCTGTGTGTTACTACTAAGATTCTTTTAATCAGACCTCAAATCAATTTTTCAAACCTGTGACACATTGCTCACACTGTCAGGCCACAGTCTGGTGTTGTCAACAATGCTGCCGTTGGGTTTCAGACCTATATCTAGACCCTGCCAACTGTTCTCATCTCAAAAGCCACTTAAAATAACTATTCCAAGTGGCAGCTGAGGATTACCTTAATCATTACAGACGAAAGTACTCTATTGCCACCATAAAGGCAGGGCTGAACCACAGACTTCCCTCCTTCTCAACAGCATATGAGACCCTTCACAAGCAGTTAACTCCATGATTACTGACCTCAGCAGCTTTCTGTGCCAATTCCTTCTTGATTTTGAGTTTCTCCATGTGGTCCTGGGCCTCTCTTTTCTTCCTCTCTTCCTCCATCCTCTTCCTCTCTTCTTCTTGTCTCTGTTTTTCCATTTCTGCAAACTTCCCCTTCACACTACCTGGTTTTAATCATGTAGAAAGACACAAGCTTTTAGATTTACGATGTCCCTCTTGTTTTCCCTTTTGAGAGCTTTATTCCTCCAGATATCTTACCTGTGATTTTGGGGACGTAAGACTTCTCCACCTTTTTCGGTTTCACCTCCTCTTCCTCATCACTGGAAGCAAGAAGGTCTTTTATCTGCAGTGGATCAGAGAGTTAGAGAGAGAGTGTTGAGGTTAAGGTTTAGCTGGGATCATCTCCTTTGCCACTCAGGAGCCATACTGGTCCCAGCAAGAACAAGGGCCAAATCCCTGCTAATATCAAGGTCATGTGACCTGTCAGTGGGCCTCTGATTGGCCTGCAGGGTAGCTGCACAGCGAGGGGATGAGCGTTGGTGTCCATGCAAGCCAGCAAGCTCTGGCACAAGAGTCCACAGGAAGGTTGTTGTGTCTGCTTACCACCAGTAATCCACTCACATAACACCATATCACTGTCTTTATTTTACCTCTGCCAGAATAAAAGAAAAGAGCTTTACTCTGAAAATCTTACATTTTCCAATTACTATACCTCACTGTCCAACATTATGACCTCAGCTAGAAATTAAATTCCTTATCATTTACCATGGTATCCTTTTTAACTCTATGCTGCTATTTATTTTAACTTAGGTTTTTTACACTACAACAACTAATTTTGCAATCTATCTCGTGTAAACCCATTTATAAGTTTAATTCCCTTCACATTTTGACTGGAATTATTTTGAATTTGATGTATAATATAATAATTTATCTTATTTATCCAAATCTATCAGCTTCAGGATATTTTATGAATAATTGAAAATGACACACAAAAAGTAAAGACTATCTCAGACTAGGTTGTATATGTTTAAAGCCTATGCAAAAAACTAAAAAAAAAAAAAAAAAAACTAGTGAGAAATTCTAGAGCATACTGTATGTTGGAGTCTTTCCTAAGACACTCAAAGAGAAAACCTGTTATTTTATGGTGTTAAAACGACACAAAAACGTGTTTCTGGAGATAGGCACCAGCACCCTTTTCTACCCCGCTTGGGATAAACATGAGGTAAAATTGATGGATAGATTTTATTACTTTTGCTCTATTAAGTTTAAGTACAGTTCCAATGAACGAGAAATGGATCTTGGGCACAAGGGATGGAAATATATTCTGGCATGAATCATTAAATTTATTAAAATACATTTGGATAAGGAATCGATGAGATTTGAGACGTTGCAACATCTTAACTGTAACAGCACATTTATTATTCTCAGTACAGGTTTCATAATGTTATATTTACATACAGCGCCATTCTCTAAGTCAACCATTCCTTTTCATTCCTGGCCCAGGATTGGGATAACAACTGGATAACAAACTATGTTGCGCTGTTTTGTGATTTATTGCCAAATATGATAAATGCCCCCATCTGACCAACCCTTTTAAAATCTTTCAGAGGGACCTCTCCATCTACTTGTGGGTGTTTTCACAGAGATTATTGTTCAGGACTGGTAGTTTTAAAATGGATGGTTATTTGCTTCTTGCCTGAAGAAATTTGTCTTTTTTTGAAGAAAAATTGAAACTTGATATCTAAGGAATGATGTCATTTTTGCTGCTTTATAAGACAACTTTCTTTTTAGACTAATTTCAACCTTTTTATTGAATTACCTTTGAAAGGAATCTTATTTTGGGTTAATTGTTTCTGTTTTTATTACAATTTATATTATCTCTGAATTTGTAAATCCTTACCTCTTCTCTCATTGTAGCCCATGATGTAGTTTTAACTGTGAGTCAAAAACATCAAGTGTGCCAGAAAGGATTTAGTCCAACAAATACTTTTTTTAAATTAAAACTTTAAGACAGGGGTGGGAAACTCCAGTACCTGAGGGTCGGTATCCTGCAGCTTTAGAGCCACACTTGGTCCAACACACCACAATCAAATGGCTGAGTTCCTCAGTATGTAGCCAGTTCTCCATCATCTTATCACTTGATTCAGGTGTGTTGAAACAAAGGTACATCTAAAAGTTGCTATAAAGGCCCTCAGGAACAATGAGTTAACAGAAATGAATTCAAATAAATAACTTAATTTATAAAAGATTACTGTGGCAGTAAGTTTGTAAGTTTTAGTTTTGTGTAAGTTCATTAATCCAGGTACAAAAACCTTCTGTTTAGTTTATGATTCAGTACTTTAGTGCGCATTGATACGTGATATTACAAATGTTAAATATGAACCAAGACAAAATAAAGGCAAAAGATCATAAAACGTAAATTGTTAATAAATGTGATCTTGAGTCTAAAACCAGCTGGACTGCAGCCCTCTGGATTAAAGACTAGATTCTCATTGAAACTGGAAGCTTCTTCACCTCCATCATGCCCCATCATGCCGTGCAGATCACAAACAGAAGTTAGTGGCGTTTCTCTCTTTCAACCTGCTGCTTCCTGCGATTCCACTCCCTCTCCTTGACATATTGATCCTTCCTCTTCTGCTGTTCGTCCCTGTTCCTCTGACGGCTGCGCTCCTCTCTGGCTCTCTGCATGGCCTCAAATTTGCTTGACACATCTCCTTTTTCTTTGTTTAGCTTTGGCACGTAGCTCTTGGCCACTGGCTTTCTGGACCGCAGCTTCTGTTTTTACAGTAAAAGAAATGATAAAACAAGTTTAAGTAATAAATATGGAGTTTAATGACCGGATAGTGTCCATCTCTGTTGCTTTACCTCTCTTTTAAAAGCCAGATCTGACATGTTCTCCACTTCATTTGTTTCCTGTAGTTGATCTTTGTTGTCGGAGACACCATTTACAGCCTCATTTTCCTCACTTTGCTGGCTCTCCATACCGTTTGATTGTGTTTCCTTTGCCTCCTGATTTGTTTTGTCTTTCACCTCGTGAGTTTTTATGGTTTTGTTCTGGAGTGTCTTCTCACTTCTCTCATCAGCATCGCTGACCATCTCCTCATTGTCTTCCTCTCCCATTTTCTCTTCCAAGTCTTCCTCTGTGCTCATGCTGTGCCCGCTGTCGTTTACATCATCTTTAGCATCATGAGCATCGACAGCTGTAACCTGCGCCACCTCAGTCATGTTTGTGCCACAATGACAAGTTGACAAACAGGGTTTGCTTTGATATAAGCTGGAATTAGAAAGGAGAGTTAGCCATAATCAAGTTAAATAGATACGTATTGTAACACCTCAAATGCATGGTACAAATGTTTTCCTAAAATAAATACTGTTTCTCTGTTTTATTTTGTTTCATAAAACATTATCCAAGAATAATCCACTTTTTTGTGTCAGTATTTCTTAACAGATAATGAGTCATTAACTATACATACTCTTTTATTGTTTTTATAGCAAATATTCCCTGCTCAGGCATCCCTGTCCATTTAGTGGTTTAGAACTGCTACCATTAACTGTACATGCTTTTTGTTTTACTTTTCATAGAAAGTGCTTCTGGTTCAGTACTTCTATGTTTCATCAATGCCATAGGCGCAACTGCTGTCACATTGTTTTAATTAGCCATAGAAAGTACACTTGTTCAAGATATAAAATTTAGTTAATCTATTTTTTTTTATCTAAACAATACCAGCTTATGACAAACAATAACACAGGTTATGTCAAAAACAATATTTTGTCTTTGTTTGTTTCTATTGTACTTGTTAAGTTTTCCTGTCTGCTTTCTCCTTTCATTTCCCACTGGTTTGACAGGCTGAGTCAGGTTCTGCTGAGGGGTTTCTTGCTCAGGATAAAGAATGGAAAGTCAGTGACTCCATGGAAGCAGATGGGCTTCCAAAGATAAAAAAGTTTTACCATTTTGCAATGAACTGTATTTTAAGTTTTCCTCTATAATAATAATTCTAAATCTGACCATGATTGGATTGTAATGATTGTAATGAATTATTGTAGATTGATCAGTTGTAGTTTGAACCATATACAATTATTATTAGTTGCTACATTTAAAATGTTGTCTCTTAAAGTGCTTTGGGATACCATTTGTAGTGATGTTTTTTCTTATCTAAAGAAACGGAATCGAACATTTGCTTATAATAATCACACTTATCAAAAACTGGAAATTGATTCCTGCTGCTTGTGTTGGTTGCCGCTAATAATAATATCCATTTCTGTCTCAGTCGTAGTCTACTTTTTTAGTATTGAGTATTCCTTGTAAAATTCCCTTTTGTTGCTGCATCTTTGTATCATAGTTTAATGTTTAATCTTTCATACAAATTACCTATAGAACATCTATATTGTAACTTGATTCTAGTTAGTTTATGTATTTTTTTTTTTAATACCATAAACTTCAAATCTGTGTTTAAGGCAAAGATAACTGTTTGCTCCTCTTTCTGTTGAGTAAAAGTGTGATGAGGGGCTGCTGACCCCTATTTATAGCCCACTTATGCACCCGGAACATGTGATCATGGCTATTTCTGATGAGTGATAGGCAGTTGGAGAGAGATCAAGTTGGCACCCACATGTCGCCTAAAAGACCCTCCACCAAATGGCCGGGCTCTGTGCGAGACGACCGACTGAACAAGGGGGACTGTTAGTCATCCCATGGTAAAACTGCTGCTCTTTATCAGCCTCCACAAATACCTTTTCTATTCAGATCTGATGATCTTAGTGTGACACAATGCTGCTTATCAGAAACTGCACCCTTTTAGTTTGTATTAACTCATCCAGCAGTCTGAGGCAGGAATACTCTAAGCCAACAATGTTTTCAAAATCCACTTCCAAAGATTCCTAAGTAAAGACACCATATTTAAAGTGGAAACTAAAGTTACTCAATCTAGATGCACATGCAGAGACTATTGTTGTCTGAAGTCCCATGAAAGACGTCCTTTTGAAAGGTTTTGTTTTGAATCTTGTAAAAAATCATAAAACAGGGAAAACAGGAGACATATCCATAACTATATTTTTGAAAAGCCTGATTGGATTAATTGCATTGTTATTATGTCAATATCATGGAATCTGTCTGTCTGAACAGATGAATACCAGAAGCTTGATAAGCATGGGATATCACCTGTCATTTTTTTGTAAAGCATGCTATGACAACATGCCATCTGGAGCTTCAATTTACCTAATTATTATTACATAATATATACAGTCCACTTCCTAATTAGAATTAAGTCTACATATGTAATTATAGAAACAAAGAAATAAGCTTATCTCCAAATGATTTAATAAACAATAAAAGCTCTTTAAGGTCTTTGTAGTAATGCAGCACTAACAAAAAGAAATTCTGCTTACTGAAAATGTTTCGTTTCAGCAGGTGCTGTCCTATTTTTGTACACAGCTGGCACAAGAATTCATGACAGAAATAAATGAGTTTGACACATGTGAAACAGAGAGAGATTAAAGCAGTATACCTTATATAGTTTATAGCTTTCTGTGGGCCTAACAGTAAATCCGTGAGGGGAAAAAAGAAAAAAGTGTGATTCACTAAAGAAGCAGCTCAAACACTCATGAGAAGATTTTTCTAGTAATTTTTTACCATAAATTTGAAAATGTGAATATTTTGTTTACTCTGGTTCCATTCTCATATGTTTGGAAAAGACAAATCCATCCAGTTCTATATGTAACAAATAAATCATTACATGAAAATAGATAAAAGACTAATGCCCACTTTATGGGCAACTGTATTTTTTAATTATAAAACAAAAAAAGAATATTACCTTCTTGTGCTGTAGTCCTCAAGTCTTGATTTAAAAAATCCGTTTTGTAAATGAAAACTCAAAGCGGTAAAAGAGTGTTGAGACTTTCAGTGAGGAGTGACCACTGTCTGCTCAGACCCTGCTGGCTGCTGGTTGGGGGTCAGGAAGGCGTTTCCATAAAAGTACCGTTACTTTCTGCCGGATAACCAGCGCGCCTGTCGCACATTCAGCTGTTGCCCAGCCAGCATGTCTGCACGCAAATGCAGCAGCACTACACAGGCCTGCGTTGGTCATTTGTCACAGCTGTGTAAATGGGAAACTGTTCTTTCCATTCATCTTGTTAGATGTTATCATTTGCAGGGCTTTATTCAGTTCCAGTTTATCAGCACTTTTGCTTTTTGAAGCTACACATCAACAGAAGCATCATTTTTTCTATGAAAAGCTGAAAAACATGGGATGCATTTATATTCACCCTCCTTTACTCTGATACCATTATATTCGCCCAGTGCAACCATTTTCAGAAGTCACTTAGTGGTTGTCTACATTTCACCTCAGTTTAATGTTGCATTCAATCTGTGTTAGAAGTCAAAGTTAGAAATGATGTTACACTCAAGTTGAGTTTTTTTTATGTCAGAAAACAGAAAACTACATTACTTTAGTAAAAGTATTGATACTCATGGTTAATTTTTAAATAATTACAAGAACAAGCTGTTGAACCAAAAATCTACTCAACTTAAAAAATACTGACTTTTGAAGATGCTTAGGTATTCAAAAGTACAAATTACACTTTGCAATTTCAGTACATTGCTGTTTAATTTTCAGAGTAATTTTACTGAATCTCGTAACTTTCAGAAACCACCTGATGTACAGTATTGACGTGTAAAACCACTCTGCTACAAATTCTACACCACTGGTCAAAAAAAACTTCAGCATAAAAATAACAAACAAAAAATAAAGTTAGCTATTTCAATTATGATTTTTTAATTAAAACACACCATAAAGAAAACAGGAGTGTCTAGATTCTCCCCTCAAATTCACTACGAAATAGAGGTTTCATGTTAAGTCTATTACCAAAAAAAACAACAACTCTACTCTGAGAACTCATCCCACTAAACAACTTGGCCACATGAAAACAACTAACGCCGTACTAACATTTGTAAACTTCAAATAATACTGAAGCACTTAACTTTTCACATTTGTAAGGGCTGTTATCTTGCATGTTTTAGCTCTTTCCCTGGGGGGGGGGGGTTGCTACCTCCCTAGTATGTCAAAGTTCTGCATATAACTGCTAATTAGCTACCATCTGACTCAGGTGTGTTAAAAAAGAGATAACTAAAACCAGGAAACCTGTTCTAGAGGATGAACTTTGAACTTTCAAGGAAGATTAACAGCAAGAGTAGATTTCAACCCTAAGCTGAGCCAAAAGGAACGAGTGACAACTCGCCTTCTTGAAATGTAGCGGACTCGGATGTTATAAGAACCCGACCAAAAATAAAATTAATTAAGAAGAGTAAAGATACTCATACAAATGTACTTACAGTAATCAACTTAATTTCCTCCATTGGAAAACAGTTGAACTATATCTTATTCTCTTTCAAATTAACAACTAACTAACTAACTATCTGCTACTTTGCTTTTGTCTACAACATTAATACTCAAGAAAATACTCAAGGGGTAAGAATATTTTTGCAAAACATGGCAAAATGATGATGATTTTCAAACCAACTGCCTTTAAACCATTGTCCCTCTGTTCATCAGGAAAACCATCACTTGACTGTTTGAACCTCATGGTTAAATGCTGCACAATTTTTAGAGAAGAACTCTGTTTGGGCCTGAAATCTAAAAGTAGACTCAGACTACTGTTATCTGCCTGTTGTCTCCTCACCAGAAAAATTCCTTACTTATCAAAGGGGAAAACAGTTTACACCTTTGCTATACAGAAATAACCTGTACAACGGTTCCATCCTGGCATGTGTTGATAGCGCTCAGTGCCATGTAGCAGTGTG